GTGGTTCCACTTTAGTTTTGAACATTTTAAGACGTCATCTATGATCAATAAGAGGACAGACAATGGAAATCTATGTGCGATTTGTTAATTTGATATATTGAACAAATAGTTACTCGTGCGTGACTTTAGCATCTTATTGTGTGACACGAGAGTTTGAATCAGTCGTTTATTGGTTCTTTCTTCTTTGAAACCATAGTTACAAATAGTCGCGTGTCAAAGTACAAATACTAACCAATCAGAAGTCCGAAAATTAAGTGAAAGCCAATCAAAAATGAGTATGTAATTGATTGACCGTGAGCGGGCTTCTTTGAAAGTCTTTGTTGTTCTCTGGCAAGAAAGTCGACAAGATTGAACTTGCTTGCCAGTTGGTACTTCGGTTTTACTGCTGAACGTGCGGATATTTTCATCGGGAAAAATGCCTGTGACTCTACAAGTAACTCCTCCGACAGAGGAAAGAGCTACCTATATTGACCACATATTATGGGCTCCAAAAAAGAAGCAAAAGTACCGAAGAAGGAATTGTGTTCGGCAGGAAACTCGCGTGCATTCGAAGTGTAGGAAACGGCTACAGTTCAACCATGTAGCAGACATCGAAGAACCAATGGAAGTGTCTCCAAATGAGCCCCCTAGAGTTTCTGTTGATAGCCAAAAGAAAGAAACCAAGCCAGAAGAGGTCCCAGCTACTCCAGAATTAAAGAGAAGACTAGAAACAGCTAACCAGATAGATTTGAAAGTTCGTCTTCGTGTATCTTCGAAACAAGATGGAGCTCGCAGCACTCATCCACAAGCAGCGAAAAGAAGGCTTTCTTTAAGTTCTTTTCGATAATCTTTTCAACCAGAACATGAATCATGGGATTAATTGTACACATTAAATGGAACTTTCATTCAACGTATAGCTGAACGAGTTCCTGTTGGAGTAGGAAATGGAATATTATGAAAATATTACGATAAACCAACTCTGCATTGAACATTAATATGAGAATTGGAAACTCACGAAAATAGGAGTAACTCCGGTTGAAAATTTAAATTTATTGTAAAGTACAAATAATACAGGGGATTGTTCAGAACATTTATAAAGTAAAATTATTTCTCTCAAGTTTTAAGAGAATAATGTATTCTTCATAGGCTTTCAAACACTTAAGCATTAGTAAATTTGAAAAAAATCCCTTAAAAATTTGCTACAAAGTATCACTTTATCACCATCAAGATTCTAAATTTATTAAGCTTTCACGAAAATTATACATTGCAAATTAAAAGAGCAGAATTAAAACATTATTATTTTATTTAAACTTGCAATAAAGCGTTATTTTTATTTTTTTGTGACGGGAAGGTAAAAGCACAGGAAACCCAAGCCATGTAGATTGAGGTACAGTATAATCTGTTTGTTTTTTGAGTATTTTCTTAGAAACCAAATAATGGTAGCAGGAAAGGTCGTAGGCGCTCAAGCTAACATATCCTAAAATAAATGCTAAATAAAATAAAATCCTATACTGCACTAGATAGAGCATTACTGATACGACTTGCTAGGGAGGATACTGCCGTTATACAACTTCAGATACCAGGTCACAGCCCAAGACCAGTAAATGGATCAGCAATGGCATATGCATCACGTCCTGAGTAAGGACCAATGTCAAAGTGCTTTGAAAACCTGGACTGGCGAAGAATGGCCGCTAAATTGGGTGTGATTGGGTGCGCTTTGTCTTTCTAGGTAATAAAGAAAAATTGAAAATAATTGAACTAACGGTATATAAAAAATTTGAAGATGAATCAATATTTTAGAAATTTTGGGGTAGATAATATTAATTTTCATTAAGTGCTTATTTGATTTATTTCAGCATAAATCCCATTCTTTTTTAAAGTAAATAAGAGATGAAACACTGAAAATGCAGGAAATACTTGAGTAGATGAGAATGCCTTCTCATTGGTAGTTAATTTATTTGCATGTGTTCTGGGGGGAGGGGGTGTGGATGATTGCTGAGGTTGGTGGGGAGTGACCCCTTACAATAATGATATTTTACAACCACCACTCCCCATATGGGGTGCTTCCGTGAGGTTCCCCCCACACACACTACCACTACATTCAATATTCTATGTACACAACGCTCAGCTCACATGTTGATTTTTACGGAGGGAGGAAACCGGAGAACCCATTGGGAGCTATGTCTTTAGAATATCATATGCAGGAATCATCATGACTACCTCAAAAGTGTTGTAGATATCAAACTTGTATTCATTTGGAAGTCCTTCAATGGTGCCTATGTAAAAAAAATAAAGAGGAAAATCTTGAAATTCAAATATGATTATAAGGATCAGAGATTTTTAGATCTCTTTAGTACTTGGATGTAATCCAAGAAATGTTTTCCCATTTCATACCATTAGTCATTCTCTTGAGAAATATAAGATTTTTTGTTTCAGTGGTATTCCTATATTTATGTGTCTTTGCAACCATTTAAAAAAATGATATTCTAGGGAATGACACATGGTTAGAAATGGGAAAACATTACCCCAGCTAAAAACATCAATATTTTATACCTTTGTATGTGGCCTGGAATGTATTACCAGTGTCCTCTGTGGTTGGGGTTTTGAACATCCTGTATGTACCTGAAACAAACCTGGTTTCGCCTACATGAAGACAACCAGACGTTGAAAAAGTAAACAAGTGAATTATTGTCAACGGAACTACTATGACTTATATGATTATTAAATTGTTCACAGTCCAAATCACTCTATCTTCTACCAGGTTTCTTCTGCTCTTAAGATCTAAATCCATTTTTAAAACCAGGGCTTAGATGTGGAGAGAAAGGGTCAAGTGAGACCCTACCAATTCTTTGTGTGCTGCAAGATGTTTTAAGGGGTTCGTACCCATCTTTTAGAGCATTCAAAAGAATTATGATAATCTAATTAGGGTTAAAGCATAGCCAGGGGGGCTAAGGGCAATATTCTGACTAAACACCTGTAAGGGGTTTAAAGGGTACCATTTAAAGTTGTCAACAGTTGGGGGTTCAATCATGCTTTTTGAGTTCAGATAAAAATATTTGCCCCAAATGCCCTCTATAGTCTGCCCCTGGATTGGAAATGTGCAGCTTTAACAAGAGCAATCGATATAAATGTATCAAACCTATCAGAGTTCAGATAAAAATAATTGCCCCAAATGCCCTCCATAGTCTGCCCCTGGATTGGAAGTGTGTAGTCCTTTAACAAGAGCAATCGATATAAATGTATCAAACCTATCTGTTCCTTCATTTCTTCATTGGAAGGAAACATTTCATGTCCAGTAACCAAGTATGGTCCACTAAACCCAATGTCTTTACAAAAGTCAACAAGTTCTCTCCAACACAGAGCACCACAAAAGCCTTCACCTTGAAAAAAACAAAACAAAATGATTAATAAAAATGTCTTCTGCTATTGAGATGTATTAGGGCATAAAGTTTTATATGGTCCTGGCCTATCCCCCCCTCCCCGGCACACATATATAAATCAATATTACAACTGTTTCTAATATAATACAGTCATCAAAAGTGTTCTGTTTAAAACAAACCAAATTTATTAGCATATTTACATAATTAGCATAATTAGCATATTTACCCCAAAGTGCTTTATCACACTTGCTTGTATCACGCTGTCTGTCAGCATATATGTCACTGAAGTAAAGTTCACCACCATCCTGGGATAAATAATAATCATTATTAATATGATTTATCTAAAATAGTCTAAAATAATTCTGTTCTTATCACTGTTTTCGTTGCTTTGTGCTCATTGAGAAGACAGTTGTGACAGGGAAATAGAGTGCCTTCAATCAAATAAATTATTTGTTATCTTACATACCCTACTATGATTGACAGCAGTGCATAATTGTTCTATTGCAACTGTTGTTGTTCAAATCAGCATGTAGTAATGAAAGCAGTGGTAAAAGGATTGCTTATTATTTATCATTTATTGCTTATCAAATTTTAACTAAATACTGAATGAATGAATGAATGAATGAAAAATGAAAGAAGACTTGCTTTAATGGATGAAAGAATCGTTCAATTCCACTTGTCACAGAATTCTTTCTCAATGATTACCTTAAGAGCCCTGTAAGCTCCTTCAAACACTGCCTTTTTGTTTGTAGTAAGACATATTACGCAGTTGGATCTGCCATAAATCACGATTTAGTTAGAGTTTCAACTTAAAAACTTGAAGATGATACACAAATTCTACCCACCCCTCCCCCTCAAAAGAGAAATCAACTTCAGATCCTTACCCCAAGATTTTTAGACCATGGTGTAACCGTTTGAAAAGTTTCATAGCATCATGTGAAGAATCATAAAAATTATTCAGAATGGGTAAATTTTTTGGATATCAGCAGTATGTACAATGGCTCCCATTGTTCTTCGTTTTCAACATAGCTAAAGATGACCCCCCCCCCCCCCCCACACACACACACATATTCAGGTTGACTTTTATCATACCAACTTACATTATAAGATCATAAGCATTTTTCTTCACCCCAGCAGCAGCAAGCTCCTCTATATCACCCAGGATAAAGTCAGTATTTGGTTTGGTATATCCAAACTTCTCTGCATGGTACTTTGAATATTCATTGGCAATATCCAGCTAAAAATCATTGCAAATCAAAATTCTTCAGTTTCAGAAAGTTATATTCCTATTAGCCAATAAGGAAAAAAGTGGGTAGAGTTGGCATTGCAGTGCATCCTGGGACTGCATTAGTGGACGAAATAGTACGAAAATTTAACTTAAATGTTAAAACATGACAAGTCTTTAGACGCGCTTATTACGTCAATTATTGGGGGGGGGGGGGATCCGCAAGAGGATAAAAGACGTGGGAAATACAAATGAAGAATTGCGAAGACCATAAGGAAAGAGTTCATCTGCTTACATTAGTCCTACGGAGTAGGGAGGTGATAAATCAAAAATAATCGGAGAACATTATCCCAGACCCGAATGCTGAAGCCTCGTATGGTAGCGCGAAGCATTTGAAGCCGGATATTTTCGACACCCGATACCATGTCGTCTTGGGAGCCACTTCAAACTACGCATGCGTTCTCAAGCTTCCTTAGTACTTTCCCAAAGTGATCTTTTAAAAAGTTTACCTGTTTCAATTCGAGAATTACTTTTTTATTTTTTGATTAAAAATAACCGGAGACCATACTCCCAGACCCGAATGCTGAAGCGTCGTATGGCAGCGCGAAGCATTTACGGCTATGCCAGAGATTTTGATCCCGACACCGCTATCCCCTGTCAATTCTTTCCATGTGGGATGCATTTTAAAAATCTAGCCGCTAGGTATATATTACGCGCAAGCTCAGTAAGATTCAAATTCTTCGTCTTATCGATTCAACAGAAGGTAATTTTACATCTAAAAAAAGACGAGAAAAAACGTTTTGTTTATGTATTTGCCCCTTCCTTATATTGTTTCCTTTTCTTTGGTAGCTTTTGATTATCACTTTCTCAGCTTAGTTTTCATCCTTTGCACATCTAGTGACATGTAACAGCTTTCGTGCTTGCTATATAAATAAATCACTTTTATTTAAGTGTCTAGTCTTTCTAGCGCTTTCGCACTAATTGGGGACACTTTTCACTCACACGCACTACCACTACATTTAATGTTCTATGCACACAACGCTCAACTCACATGTTGATTTTTACGGAGGGAGGAAACTTGAGAACCCGGAGAAAACCCTCGTAGCATAGGAGAGAACAACACTTCAAACAAACTCAATTCACATGTGGCGACCGTAGGGCGGTAAAAAGCGACCCGAACCGTTGGACTCACCGCAGTGAAAGACGACGTGTTATCCGCGAACGCCACTCAAATCCTTGGTCGGAATATTAGCTAACGTCCGAAAAGTCAGAGGTTACAAATTCAGGTTTACACAGTGATTATATATGTTTACTATATATTTTTGTATATTAATTTCAAACATAGCCTGGTTTAGCAATAAAGCGATATGCATGCTATAGTCATGATATTTCATGAGCAGATGCAAAATAATTCATGCAAATTCGTTTCATCTCGAACATATACATGTCTTATATAGTTCGAACCAGTTGAGCTGCATGCGCCACTGCGCATGCGTGCTGTACTTGCGATGGTTTATGATAACAAGTTTTTATTTCCAAAAAATTTTAATGTCACAAAGATATAAAATGTACCTGACATATATTTTGTCTGTACATTATAGTGCAGCATGATTTCCTCAACGCTGATATTATTTAAGTGTAAATGCAATACATTTCAAGCTTTTACCAATATGCATCTATGGCCTTATTTCCTCAGGGAAGTTGGGCAGTATACGATCAGGTTCGCTTTCATTGACGGCAGTGTATTGGCGGATTTATACCATGTCGCGACTGTTGTCTTGATCAGGGCGTAGCAATTAAAACAGTGGTGAAAATGCTTACCAAATCTTGCGTCATGTCTATTCCAGTCACGTGACCCTTTGGACCAACCAGTTTAGCAGTGATGAAACAGTCACGCCCGGCACCACACCCTAGATCAAGTACTCTGCAGCCCTCAAGGCATTCTGGGAAGTTGAGGCCACACCCATAGTACCTAAAATGAAAACGAAATAATTCTTGGGTTCTTGGGGTGCAACCACATCATTCAAAATCCCTTGAGATATTAATTGCAATGAAACAGCCGCCATGTTACAGATCTTTTTACGTTGCTGGCCCTAAACTGTGGAATGACCTCCCACTTCAAATTAGGAAAAGTTCTTCAATCCAATTATTTAAAAATGAACTGAAAACTCATTTGTTCAAGAACTTTGTCTCCTCTGGTTCAAAGTGAACATCAATGAACTATGACATTTCATTAATATTGTAACATATGTCTGGTATTTATTTTATTTCTTATTGTGAAGCGCCATGAATTTTGATATGTGCGCTATATAAGTTCCATTATTATTATTATTATTAT